TACAAAGAAGGAGGTTGAGACCCAAACTACTAGACTAGACTAGAACTCTTCGCGGGTGGGAGACCCAAATAATATCGTACTCAAGCCACGAGCTCATCCCATCGGGGGGATTATCATAACGGTGCATGCCTAACGGGGAGGATACCGCCAAGGATGCCATATGATTCGCCGCAAAGTTGGTTTCTCTATGCACATGTGGATTTGAATACCCCACTCCCTTTGAACCAAGCTGCGAATGGCTCGAACTAAAGCGTCATGAACAACAAACTTCTCCCCGGGCCCAAGAATCATCTTTGCAACACATTGGCTATCGACCTCTGCAATAACCTGTCGGAATCTCAACTCCCAGGCCAGCATTAGACCCTGAAAAAGCCCCCAAAGCTCATCGCCCGTAATTGTACTGAAACCAATAGTGAACCCTGCTATCAAGCCCCCAAGTTCGTTCCTAATCAAACCGCCCGCACTACTAAGGCCCGTGTCCTTGGTAAAGGCTTCATCCTTATTCACCTTTACCCAACTCGGGTCTAGCTGGACCCAATGAATCAGTCGAATCTCATGTAGCGCCGCGCCAACCTCAGTCTCCCGGTCATATGTCTCCGTTTTACGACGAACTTCCAAGTGCCGGGATTGGCAGGATAGAAGACGCTGATTGAAGATACGGTCATTGCGCCAACTCCACGAGCTTCATGTTGTGAATGCAAACAAGAACCAATGAAATATGTCTATTTTGATGTATTTCACAAAACTGAAGAAACTCTAGAATGAACAGAACAACCTAGATCCTCTACCCATTTGTGAATGTGGAGCTGCAAAACTAATGGCAGAAAGAGATAGAAAAGGGAAACTAATGCAGTTTCTAATAGGACTAAATAAAAGTATTGATAGCATAAGGAGCCAAATCATCATATCAGATCCTTTGAAAAATGTAAACCTTGCCTACACCATGATCCTAAGGTGTGAAAGGCATAGAAATGTTCAAGTGAGTGCACAAGAACTAGGAAAAAACAATGCAATGATGGGGACGGTGCAAAGTTCCAACTAGAATTCCAACTCTCAAATTGGTTGGACAAGGAACAAAGGTAAAAGAATTACAAAAAAGGAAAAAAGATAAGAGAAGGCAAAACTCTTCTGTGCGCATTGTCAAATGAATGCACATGTGGTGAAGGAATGTAACGCCCGTTCGTTTATGAATAAATGGATTATTATATTTATTATTATTATTATCATTGTTATTATTATTTTTGCCATTAATGTTAATTGTTATTATTATTTGTTGTGTTATACTTAATTGTCTAATTGCCTAAATGAATTCTATGTGCCTTTTTGTGAATTTATATAAATATTAAAAATGTGGATATATTGTATAATTAATAAATATTATTTTAATTTATTTTAATTTCTTCAAACAGAGCTTCCGGTTGAGCACTTAGTCGCGCCCATGGCTCCTAACCCGCGGCCGCGAGCCGCGCCCGTGACCCGCGCCCTACCCGGCCGACCCCTCTCCCTTTGTGTTGGTTTTGGCAAGTTTGCTTAATTATGGAGTCTCCTAAAACCCTAAGCTAGACCTAACTCTATATATATGGGAGATTGGACTCCTCTTTCATCAAAAATCTTTTCTCCCCGCAGCCACCCTCCTCTCTTTTCTCTCCTCTCTCTCGCACTCTCTTCTTCTCTTTTTCCGTTCGCTGTCAACGCCCGATCGCCGTCGTTGCTCATCGGACGTGGCAATCGCGACGCCGCCCCAGTCCAGCCTTACATCGCCTCTGTCGCTATCCATCGCAAGCGCCGCATCGCCGTTCGCTGCTGGCCCTGTTCGCAAGGTCCGTGCCATCATCGACCCCTTTCCCCGATCGCGTCGCAAGCCCGTTACCAGCGCTGCCCGTCGCCATCGTCGGTGACCCCGCAGACGACCC